GATAGTTTAATCCAGTTAGTTATCGTTAATTTTACTATCCGAAATATCTACTGTAAATACTAGCAAGTAATAAGTATCATAGAACCAATTTGTAGAATCATAAATTTAAGTATAACATTAAGTTAATCACCGGTTTTATTAATAAATTTTTCACGCAGTCATACATTCAAGAAGTGCTCAGCATAAAGTCCACTACGCGCCTTTCCGGTGAACGGACCATAGCAATCAGAAACCCATGTTTCTATGTCTTTTAAAATTTCCGTAAAAATTAAAAAATCTTAAGGAAAATTAAGACTTCAAGGAATCCCGACTTTTTCTACGTAATTAAAACGAAAGCATTCAGAAAATAACAAAAAGAGACGAAAGCAATGCAAAGGAAACAGTTTTTCGAATTTTACTGCAATACAATTTACTACTTACTATAGTATCGTCCCATATATATCCACAGAGAACCGGAAAAGAGGCAATTTTATATTTTAGTAAACTGTAAAAGCCCAACGATATTATCCTTCCGATTACAAGAAAGATGGATCTGACTATAAATTAATTTCAGCATTACAAAATGAACCTTCAATAAAAGTAAACAAAAGAAAAAAATATATAACAATTCTTAAATTTGCACAATTTCACTTTAGTCTAAACATACAGAAAAGAATAAATAACTCAATTCTGTCGAAAACTAATTTCCAACCAGTTTCCAAAAAAAATTTTCTTTCCACTTCTCTACTCCAACCTCTCGTCATTAAGCGAGATTTCAGACTATAAATTTGCTGGAAAAGAAATCAAATTCCGAAGTCATAGAAATTAACTGCAATGATAGCCGAATTTGTTATTCCAGAAAAAAAGCAAAAAACATGAGGGAGTTAGATGTCAGCAAGAAATAAGCATTTGAAAGGACTTGCTCATAGGGATGAGGAGGGCATGGGAAGGAATGAGAAAGGAATGTAATGACCAAAGTGAAAAGCATAGCATAGCATAGGATAGGCATGGTATGGCATTGTATAGCATTTGGTGTTCACAGCAAGACAATACATAAAACTAAACATCATTCACTGCTGCTACTATCGATTCATATCCCGATGAGATGGAAGAAACGAGCGACCCACGTCCATTTCAGGCTACTTCTGCATCACATCGATCAATATCTCACATCGATCAATACCTTACTCTTTTTTCCCCTCTCTCACATTCATTCCTCTTTTTAAAAGTTAACTTTCATAAATGAGTCGTTGCACATAATATACTTCACTGCTTCCTAATAAGCTATCTTCTAATCACATCATTCTTCCTCTTAACCACTATCCCTTCCATTTCACTTATATTTATATTTATACACACACATATACACATACACAAACATACACACATACACATATATATATTGTATGCAAACGCGATGACCAGAACATTATATCGATGAGAGAAGTATATATCTAAGGTTCAGTTAAATTTGTGAGAATATTGAAAAAGTTGATAGATTTCAATGGACGTCAAATCACATTAAACGCCGAATAGAAAACAGACGTACGAAAGGGTTGTTGACGTTAGTGATGAATGGGACAACAATACGGTTGCCTTTCCTGCATTGAATTATGAAAATTAATTCCAAATATCAAAACAAAAAAGTGATAATAAAAAGACGAATGAAATGGACGGAAAGATTGTAATATGATAAGTTGAATAATTCTCAAAACATTTCATCATATAACCTGTCATCTCATCCATCTATTTCATTAGGGATAAGCTCAATTTGTCTGATATTATACACATATGATAGTACCATTATCATTTTTTAATCTAATTTTCAAAAAGGATAATCTGAAATAAATTAAAATAAATCAAATTTGTTTATCAACTAACTACAAAATACACACATACATACACACACACACACACACACACACACATACACACCAATTCGCTTTTATTTACTTCCATCCCATGATCGTTTCGATTTTGCGTCAGAGATGAGTTATAATTAAAGAGAAGGAAGAGAATATTGAAATCACCTATCCTACATTTCTTTTTTTTTTAAAGTCTTTTAATCTTACATTTCATATTTAATTCGAATCTTTCAAATGAAAAGAGGAAGAAGCAAATGAAAACATTTCAAAGTTATTCTCACTTACTTTATCTCTCTTAAAATATTGTATATATCAGAAGTAATGCTGCTTTTTTCTTCTTTTTATTTTTACTCCTCCACAATTATTATTATCTTTTATTTGCTATTTATTAATTAATTCTTTTTTTTTGTTCCAAATAATTCTTGTAAATATCGAAATCATGCTATGTTAAATAATGTTTTAATAATGCTCCAATAAATGTTTTAATAATTATATCACTTAAATCAACTTAATTATTGTTAATTAATAATGGATATAATAGGTAATATTGCCAATATCCATCTATTAGCGCCCTGGAATCAAACATTTTTGAAACAAGAAACCCCCTTTTTATCAGCTCCATTGTCAACAAGTTGTTTAACATCTATTTAAATGCAGAAAATTACTTAATCATGTATGGAAGCAAAATTACATCTTCATACTTTTTTACTAGGATCTTTCATTTTCGAGATTTTCCATTTCAAAGTTTTAAATAAGTAACAAAAAATTGATAAACTATAAAAAAATAGTAACGAACCGTAATTGCACCGCCGTCTTCCTTCATATTGTTTTTATTCTTTCGTTGTATATTTTTTTAATGAAAGGTTTCCTCGAAAGTTTAAATTCAGGTTTTGAATATTGATTTGAAAGAAATTAAAGCCAATTATGAGAATGATCGTCGGTTCTGATAAGTTGTTTAGCCACAGAAGAATAATCGATAGAGCCTAAAATAATAATGTGATAATATATCTATGAAGACAGTTGTTCCTAATTCATTCTTTAACTAGAACTATCGAACAGATAAATGATAGCAATGAAAATTGTTGAGATAAGAAAAGGAAGAGTGTTAAGGCCTAAAAAATGTGTAATGTTACTGAGAAGACTTACAACAACTGCAAATATATTGAATGAATTTTTGAAAGCAAAAAAAGAAAAAAAATTTGTTATTGCAATAAATGACTTGTGCCGAATGACAGGGAAGGTGTGCTTGTAAATAAACAACAGTAGAGAGATGGTTTAAAATGAAGAGAGAGAGGGAGAGACAGGTAAGATACTGAAATGAAACTGGTTATCGTGTACATGTCATCATTGTTATCAGCATTTGTGGCGAAGTTGAAAAATCCTAACTATAAATTGATCAGGTTATGTAGAAAAAAGACAAATAAAATGGATAAATTGATTTTGCTGACCTGAAATTTAATAACGAAGACAGAAATTCGTCAAATTAGATAATTGTTGACCTTTTTCAATTCATTTCTCTATCCTTTCTCATTAAAACAATCATTATTTCAAAAATGCGAAACACTTATCCTTGAAGCTTTCCTTAACGATATCCGAAGTACGTGTAATTATATATTGCAAAAAGTTTTATTCAAATTATGCAATAAGTATCGGAAAAATGAGATGTAAAAAATTCTGGAATAATTTAGAACAACTTTAAATTTTGAGGAAACGTAAAATTAGGAAAATGTTTTTAAATTCGGACGAGAGCGGTTTATCGCAAAAAGAAAGCAGCTATTCTAAGAGTAGATGAAGATTTGTACTAATAATATCTCATGATTATTTTGATGTTTCATTCACACATTAAGCATTGAATTTTTATCTTTTCAAAAATCAGTCAGCCAAATCGATCGATTATAGATCATTTGAGTCAATCGATTATAGATCATCTATTAATGCATTAACTTATTATTTGATTAGTTGCAATATATTTCTGGATCTAATACTTATTTAAGAAATATGCGGAATTGATAGCACAAACATCCCAATAATGTGGAAATCTGAAACAGCATCATAATAATATGTGAACTGTCACAATGAAGTGCATGGTGATAATATAACATGATAAAAATGTGTTATAACCCTCTCTTATATAGTGAGGAATGTTTAAGGTGAAATAAAAGGATGCATTGCTTGAATGGATTCAGGAGAAATCAGAAAAATAGTGTAATGCGTGCACCGCGCTGTATCTCAGTCAAAATGAGCTTTTTCCTCGAGAAATCTCAGGAACCGTTGATAACGATTATTTTCATTGGGAATCCCAAAACTTTTGTTATAACTAAAGCATGCGAAAAATTGATTTCCTGACTCATACATCAATCAGTAAAAGTACCGCCATTTCACAGATGATTCATGAAATACGCAAATATAACCTTTGTACTTTCGAAAATAGAGTTTAAAAATAGAAAAATTTTCTTTGAATGTATTTTTTAAAACATTCAAATTGTATAGAAGGCAAAAACTATTCGAGAAGATGAAGTATTAAACTTGTAAAGATGACCTGACCTTGCATCGATACTACATTAGTCACTCCGAGCTAAAACTTTTACTTTCCTATAAAAAAAAAAACTTTACTCATCTAACAGTGCCTTACCAATCGTTCTGAAACCGTTAAAGCTTTTCAATGGGTCCCTTTAATTTGCATTTTAATAATAAATGCTTCTTCTTCTATCGATTTGCATGATTTTTGAATAACAAGCTTGCAAATAGATGAAATGAATAAAATCCGGAAACATATAAATCGGAATTTGCCGATATTTGTCAGCAAAAAATAACGACTAGTCTATGTTAATCAATTGCTCTCTTTTTAATATTCATTTAGATAAGTCAAAAAATGGAGAAAATAATTTTTTTACGATTTACAACATTGTATGAGAATTTGCAAAGAAAAAAATTTTATGTTAATGACAGATTTTTTTGTCTGAAGACAAACTTCAAGAAATACTGACAGTATTTGTTATTATCATTTTCATCTTAAACATGACATATTAAATGTAAGAAATTGAACTATCTCTGAAATACGTTTATTGCCCTCTATATATAATATATGCAAAACAAATTTTTCATGTGCAGATATATTGTTGAATGAAATAAATTTTTGTAAATTAAAATTTCATATTATAAGTCGAAATGATCATTTGTTGGATAACCGTCGCATCGAAAATAATTATATTCAATAGAGGAACATTTCTTTGTTGCTTCAAACATTCGTTGCTCAGATAAAATTTCTTTTCGAAATTTCTGAAATATTTTTACTTAAATGTCATATTTTAATAATAATCTATCTAGTAGAGATAGTTTTTTTTAAGAAAATTAAATATTATAGTAATAAGATGAGTGATACTGTAATATCAGTTTAGCTACTAAAGCGAAATTAGTTATAATTAAAATAGCTTAGTTAGAGCTAAAATTATATTAGTAGAAGAGAAAGTTCGAATGTAAGGCTCAATGATATATCGATTATTTTCATTATCATAACTTTTTTATTGTCCGAAAATAGGAAACAGTTGATAAATTTTAAAAGAGAATTTGGTGAAATATTATTACAATCATCAATAATATAATTCAAAATTTGAACAATAAATAAACTAAAATTCAAAGAACAGCCAATTTACCATGACTAACCTCAACAAGAAAGATATGACGTTGAATGCCCATGTAGAGAAATTGAAATTGTGCAATTGTTTGCACAGCATGCATTCGATATGTACGAACTTTCCGCACACACTCAGCAATGTTTATCGTTGAAGCACCCTTATCATGCAACATTAAATGCGCCCACTGAAAGCGTTAAGTTTATTTTTGCATAACTTAATACTGAAAATTTTAATAGAAAAAGGAATACTGAAAATTTTGAAACTAATTTGTAATTTTATTTCAAATTTTTCATTAATTAAAGATTTCTTGTGCTAATGCTATCGTATCCGATCACTTCGAAATTTCATATGATATTTATTTCTTTCAATGGTAAAAAAAATGTGGAAAATTTAGTTTGAAAAGATCTATTGAAATTATACTTCTAAAGCGGCATAACATCCAGCTCTTCCAGCTCCAGCAAGGCTCATGCATACGTATGGGCGACGCATCTTCCTAAATTCAAAAAGAAAGAAAAATTTAATCATGTTTTAAAAAGGACAAACAAAATCCTTCCAATGATTGAATTATTGTAAACTCAGATTTAGGTAATAAATTTTTGATTTTGTAATTCAGATATATGAAATATCTGAAATACTCAACTATTAAACTTAATTGAGTAATCAATCAATGATAGCTCCTTGAATCTTTGTAGATTAGAAAAAGATAAAAAATTAAATTAATAAACGGATATAATGGGAATCCAATAGTTCGATAGCACTCACACATTTCGTCGGCTATTTAATATAATTAATGAAGCGTTAAATGCTTTAATTATACCTTAAGGATGAATGTAAAGGCCATAAGTATTCGCAATTTTTTGGTGATCGATTTGGTTCCCATCCACTATAATGAAGCCATAAAATTCGACGTGTTTCATTGTTTTTCGATAGATAGTATTCACGAACGAGCCAATCAGATGTGATATTAATATCATTTTTATGTGTCAATGTCATAAATTCTTGAATGTGCAAGCATTTTCTGTAATATTTCAAAATTTAAGCAAGTCGGAAATTCAATTCAAAATCAAAAGATTTGCATTAAGTGATAATTGATAAGAGAATAAGAAATTGCTTTCTCGAATTTTTCAAACTAAATAATTTTAACTTAATTATTGAAATTAAACCCTTTGCCAGGAATGAGCTGAATATTTTCAGCATGTTGCTTCCATTCATTTAACGTTAAAAACAATAATATTATTTGAACATTTTCCTGCCAAATCATTTCCCAGAAATGTTTCACCGTATTCAATAATGGCAATTGCGTAATGATGATCTAAGCAAAATTCTAAAGAAGTATAAGATAAGATAAGAATTCAGAAGGATACATCTGCCGAATAATGTCATTTCATATCTCTACATAAGCACTAATGAAACCTCATTGGGATTATCTCCAAGTGGAATTCGATTTGCATGTATAAAATCCGAACCATCGCTATGACTTTTAAGCACAACACGTGTTTGATCAATGCAAATTATATCTGAATGAAAATTGAAATTTACTATTTTCTGTTTCTAATATGCATGCGAACAATTTCATATGAAATTTTTTATATGATGTATTATTGCTTCATTTAGGAAAGCCTTAAAATTGTTTAGATTCATTGAAACTGAAATTGAAATTTATGGCAAAAAATAGAAATTACTTGTAAGTAAAATTACAAAGATAGAATTTGAAAGTGTTTTTAAATACTTAAATTTATTCAAATACAAACAAACATTCTCTCTCTCTCTCTCTCTCTCTCTTACTCTCTCTTGCAAAAAGGTATTAAAATTATACCTGGATAGCGGCATCTTTTCAAATTTTGATCATGCGCAGTTCGCGCAATAGCATTTGGGATGAAAGATCGACATTGCACAAATTCATCTTTCATCCCTTCCATTCCAGCTTTTGCAATTTGTTCAATGAATTGAATAACTTTTCGCTTTTGTCGCATTTCTATAATATCAAAGGAATTATAATGCAAAATTTTACGTGTCCATCAAACTTTATTAAGCAAAGAAATAGGAAAATTATTACATTGAAATTATTAATAATTCCAATGGAATGCAAACCTTTCGTTAATTAATAGTAACTTAAATAATAAAACCTTCTGATTCAGAGTCAAAAATTCTAAAATTATAATAATTCTTTAAACAGAGATTTTATGAATCTTATAGACTTTTTTATCCCACAATGTTATTAGTAAAAAACGAAGAACCTATAAATCACTTAGTCAATAATTAATTATATAAAAATATATTAAGGGTCCGCTTAACTTAAAGTCAGCCGAATTGGTTTAAAAAATATATAAGAGTTGTAGGATTAAAAACGTAGAACTCACGTTGATCTTCATCATCAACCTGTTTAGCCGATGGCAATTCGTCCACTAATTTTATTCTCGATATCTTAAAATCATAAATTCATATCCCAAAATTAATCCAACAAATGAATTAAAGCACAAAATGAGAATGGTATTCCGTTCTTCCATTTTAGCTCACTTTTTTTTAAATTTATTTGTTAGTTGACATTGTATTTTTAAATTTTATAATTTTCAAAAATATGCATTGAATATAAAATACTTTGAATTTTGGAAAGAGCGAAAGAAGTTTATTCGATGTAATTTATAAGAATTTATTTTTGTTATAAAAAATAGATGAAAAATTACAAAAAAGAAAATTAGGATAAAGACAAAAGGCATATTATAAAGCATACAATTTCAGGCGTTTTTTGTTGCATTTGCTCCACCGATACTATGAAAGTTAAAATTAGAGGAATGCTACATTGAAAAAAATATTTATTGATATATTTTTTATTGAGATTCATATTAAGATTCTTAGTACATTTCATTAGATTCCTATTATCAGAATATATTTCTTTTAAAGCAAACAATTAAAAAGCTAAACTAATAAAAAGAATTTAAAGTTTGTTAAATTACTCGAAAGTATTACCTTTTTTCACTACAAATTGCTTTTTCCTTTTCAAAAGTTTTAGTTTCTATAAAGAATTCCTTAAATACTTAAAATTTTAAATTTCAAAATTTTGTTAAAATTGAAACGAACAATGAATTTTTGGCTTATATAATTCTTTCTCACTCTTATTTTTCACTTTTTTAGTTTTAAAATCTTTTGACAATTAGTTTTCTATTTTGAAAATTGAATGTCATACTTGTAGCTTTTTCATTCGATTTTTCCTTTTCTTCAATCTTTTCCTCAACTACCTTTTTCCTTTGATCTGTTTCCAATGCCGCTGAATGAAGCGGCACTGTCTGCAAGGTCTTTGCTTCCGGTGCTGCAGAAATTGAGGACATTGATCTGGCAGAGGGTGCCCCTTGTACGCCTGGGTATCCTTCACCGATTGATGGTTGTTCTCGAATACGATGATGATCTGTTAATATGCCGGAGTATTTGAAATGTTGAAAATAATTACCATTTCAAGAAACTTTAAAAAATCAGCTTGAAACATTTACGTTTTCTGTATTTTCGATGCTTTTGGTGGCGTTTTTCTTTCGTTTTAAAAAGACTGCAAAAATTCCTCCAAAATCTGTCACATATCCGTTTGTCATGACCTAAAAAATATTAAATATACGAACAAAAGATTTAGCGTTTAAACTAGTTGATTAATATGTATGTGTCCAATGTAAATTAATTAACTATTAGCACTACCAGTTTTTTGTAACTAATGGAATGTACCGGAAATGAGTTGTCATTATTACTCCCAGCACGCCATAAAGTCCATCATCAATTCAGTTTTAACATTGATAAATAGCAAAATTGCAGTTAATTGTCTGTAATATCGGCTTAATCTAAAATTCTTTAGTATTAAAAAGTCAAGTATAACTCAATTCTTGAACGATGCTGATGTTTGTGTCTACTGCGATGAGAACGCCTCCTTCCGTGTCTTCGATGTCTTCTCCTTTCCGGCTTTATCAAAAAATCCTGTTGAAACTCCATATCATATTTACTTCCATAATTCTTTTCCGGTTCTGAATGCATGTAGGAAGATAATTCCGTGTTTCTCGGCTGCTGCTGTCCTTTCAAATCGCTCAGATAATCCGGTTGCAATTGATGTTCTTGCCCATAAATTGATGATCTAGAAAGTTTGAAATTATTTAGTACAAACTTAGGCAGCACAAAAACTTCAACGAAAAGCGCTATTTCATTCCAAAAAAGTTTATTTTAATCAAATATACTTTCTAATATTTTACTAACTTAAATATCAGAGAATTTAATGTGCGCAATGCAACAAAATTTCTTTTTATTGCTACAACAAGTTAAAAAAAGTTTTCAGTTTATTATTAAATTGAACAAAATTTATAGTACTTTTAACACATATCGAATTTGCTCATACCGACAAAACAAAAGAATCGATTTTCTCTCTATCAAATACACCTAAATATTTGCTTACTTATTTACACCGTAAAATTCAATGTTCGGTTTTCTACCAGTTTGTATTGGTTCTGCAGATCTTCCAAAAGCGTTATAATTACTATAAGCGGAATCGTTAATCGATTGCATTATTACTGCATAAGTTCGCGGATTGTTCTGAAGTAATTTACTTTTGCTTGATATATTCTCATTCAATATGATTACAATTTAATAGTATTCCATGGTGGATTAGTGTTGCTAAATTTTAAGTAATCATTTAATTACTAAAACATAAATCAATTTTTTACTGTACAACTAGAGTCAAACGTTAGATTTCGTAGCAAATCTTATCTCATTATTTTAAACTTCCTGCAATTCATTATTCACTTACTGTGATTGGTAGTCGCTCAAAAGTGATAATATAAATTGATTTAGCGCTAATAATTAATTAATACCGTGCACATATTAGCAGAGCAATGGAAATGTAATTATAAGCTCATTAGCTTATCATTAATGATTGCTGATTAACAGATTAAACAGTTGCGAGTATGCAATCATTATTTATAAATTTTAAAGAATTAAAGAACAAAGTAGTAGTAAGACGAATATTAGAAATGCTACTTAATGAATTAATCTCGTTAGACTGATATCGTTCGTCCGTTTGCGGCGATTTTTACAAACTTTATGAATATTCTCCTTCGATCTTTTTTTCCGCTAATTACTTTAACTCTTAAATAAAAAGAGTTTTTGATCTTTCCTTCCTATTTTATCCGTTGTAAATTATTATTTGAAGCAAACTTTGAACTGAACACACTTTTAATTTTATAAGTAAATTTCTTTGATTCAGTGTAATTATTATTTGAAATTTCTCCAGAATTTTCATCTCTATCATTAAAATAAATTTATTTGTGCAAATAATTGGAAGTAAAATTTGAATGAAATATTAAATGCATTGAATCAAATGTTGAAAAAAAGAGTATTTTGCTTTAAACTATTAAATCTAAACTTCCAATACAGCCTTATCTCTTCAACAGATTTCTACACAACAGTAAGAGAAAATACAACCGACCACTTGGAAGCAATTTCGTTAGTTTCTGAAGCAATTTCATTTTACCCTATAATTTTTATTACGAAAATCACATGCACAGACAGACAGACAAACAGACACACACACACACACATACACACACGCACACATTTATATTTCATGCAAAAATTTCATCTTTTTGATAGTTTTTTTTTGCAATCAAATTAACTTATCAAAAATTAATAATTAATTGTCTATTAGTTATAATTCATTTTTGCAATAGTTAATTTCTTTTCGACAACCACTTTCCAAACTGACCTTAATAATTCGAAAGTACATCTTTCGAAAGACTTTACTATTAGACACAAATTTCAAATTGGTATTTAGTGAAACGTGAGTGAGAATAAGCTGGCACGAACAATAAGTGTAGAAGTGAGAAAAAGTCCGTGCATAGACTTTTTTTACAATTCATGAAATTTGCGCTTTTCAGTATTTGCATAACTTTTCAGTATTTGCATAACAGAGAAAATGTTTTAAGTGTATTTGCCAAAAGTGTATTTGTCTCAAGAAATTCATTACTTACGTTTCATACTTTTTAAAGAATAGACAGAAGCTGCTATTATTAGAAGTCATTCATGTTATCTTATCTTCGAGAATTATAACCAGGTTACTTTTCTGGTGTGTTAAGCTCAAATATCAAAGTTACGCCATAATATATCTATTCAAGTTGTAACTGAATCACTTATGTCGAAGTGCTGGTATCTTAAATACAAGTTCACTAAATTCTGGGACAATTTCTTCGACAATAAAAACAGATTGATTTAATTCAGAAATTTCCATTTTTTCATTCTCTATCCATTCAGTGGTTTGTTTATTTTTTGATTAACTGATACGACAACGAATCAAATGATATTCTTAAATATAGTAGCATTGTTTTCTTATCATCGGAAGTAATGGAAAGATAAGTGCTGTAAAAGAGTTAAAGAATGACATGGGTAAATTCAAATCATCGAGAATACACATGTTTCATTTTTTTCGCTTCAGATATTTTGAGTTAGGCATAAAACTTTGTTAAATTGATTAGCTCAAATATCGGTGCATATTTTTTTTTTTCAATTCAATTCATTTAATTTTGATTTCAAAAATCCTCTTCAAATTCAACTGAATCATCCTTCTCTATAGATTGCTTCCAAAATAAATATCACTTGTCACTGTGGTTACAGCGCCCGTAAGTGCATGCTAATTAAGCATTAGGCCTTGATTCTGTAATGGCTAATAATTATATCTCCCTTCTACATATGCATACATGCACAACATACATGCATTTGCACATTCATACGCTTGCATGCAGAAAAAATACTGATCAAATAAAATTCTTCAAATAAACAAATGAAAATAAAATTACACTTTAGACATATGATTATCCAATTTTCATTATCATCGATGAGAAGTGTCTACGACACTCATTTCGTTTTTTCGAATGAAAATGGAATGGAATAATTTGGAAGCATTGAGCATTTTAATGTAATCAAAATCATCGAAAATAGTAGTGCTAGAAAGAAAAGAAACAACCTCATTAGGCTTTAAGAAATAAGCATAAGATGTCCTTGAAGAAGACAAGAATGAGCCAAGTAAAATAAAATAGAAATGCTTTTTGGCCTTAAAATGCTTTTATCTTCAAGAGCCACGGAGAAATAAAGATGTCACAGTGGAGAATTATTATTTCTTCACTTCACATTTCTTCATTTATTATATCATTGTTTTATCAGTAAATTAATTCATTCAAATTATTTTTCAACAATTCATCTATCCTTTCCTCTTCTCTTATTCATAATTTCTTCATTTTAAAAAAAAGGTTGAAAAAAGTGCAGAGAAATGAACAGAACGATGAAATTGACATGTTTTCTTCTCTCAATAGATAATATCAATTATTACTTCTCGTTGTAAACATCTATAATTTTTCAAAAAAGAAAAGTGTAGCAGACAGCTGTTTGCCATATGAATGGGAAAGAAAGATAAACGAAACAACAGAAATTGTTCATAATTTTATTTTTAAAGAAAGTTAGTATACACAAAAATAAACCTATCATTCTTCCCTTTCCACTTTTCTCTTAGAAACATAATGCGTTCATTTTTTTTGTTCTAAACATAATAAAATTAGGTGTATCACTTAATTCTTGTGCTATTAGCAAATTTTAATGACAAGCATAAAATTATTCCACAGGTGAATATCTTTTTAAAAAAATGAAGAAAGAGATGAGGTAAAATATGATCCACCTGTGATATAATGTATGATTTTGCTTTACTTATAATTAAAGTAGATTTTCTTTTTCACAAAAATAAATTCAAATTAAATTCAATTTTAGATTTATATCACAAGCAGCCAAATAAATCTAAATTTGATGATAATAGAATTGCATTGTTCGTAGAATACAACTACGGGTACATATTTTTTGATGAATAAAAAAAATCCATTGGCTAATTTTCTCACTATTTTTTTAAAGCCTGACACTTAATATTGGCAGATATTTTTCTACTCGGTAGATAAGTAAAGTAATGAGCATCTTTGCATGCTTCATTACTACTTCATCTATAATGACCCAATTTCCAGCTTATTTGCTCTTCTGCTTTCCTGTTCATTGTCTTAACAATTGATATATTAGTTCTTACAGCTAATATTCAGTTCATCATTTTGTTCATCAGCAATAATCGGTTTCGTAATCAATTTCTAATTTGCTTTACTTTATTTCAGTCTTTATCACTAGCTGATTTTTGAATTAGATCAGCATGGAAACCTCTTTTTTCATAGTCCAATTATTTCATTGCCAAGCAGCTTTAATTTAAATCTTCTGAAGAAGTAAATCTTCTCAAATTATTATATTTTAAAATTTCTTCTACAAAGTATCACTCTAAAAAGACAGATAAATTTTGTATATATTCTAATCTTTCACTCTTATAGCCACCCATTATCACTCATATAGTAATCAAATTTAAATTTTTAACGATAATATTAGCCTCCTCTATAAAATCATTTGCATAATCACAAAATAATTTTGCAACATTGTTGTTTCGTTTTTCATTCAAAAATCTTATAATAATAATAATAATAATAATAATAATAATTTCCGTAAATAAACAATTTCCGCAATGGGTGAAGATTCACTTCATTCGTTACTTTTTCGAATTACACAGTATTGATCAAAGCTTTACTTTAGCAATAATTTAATTTAAAGTTTAATCTATTTTAACATAAATGCAATTTACATACTACTTCACACATAAATACATTTTACAAAATGTCCTCATTGCATACATTGTTATTTCAATTGCAGCACTGCACTTCAAGTGAAATTCAACGATTGTATAAAAGCAGCGCAATTTAGGATAAGGGAAAGAGATAAATTAAATTATTCTCAAAGAGAGTGAAATTCTTTTCTTTACTTATTACTTTACTCTTTCTCATCAGAACATTAGTCTTTTTCTCCTGATTATTGTATATTAATTTAATAAAAAAAAATGCTGGCAATTAAATTAAACGAAATTAATTAAATTAAATGAAATTATATTATTGTTTCAAGAACTGAAAGGATAAGAATGATTTTTATGAAATGCTGTAATTTATGTACGACTTTATTTATTTCTATCATTATCATTATTTAAATAGCCTATTTGAACAGGCAAAATGACGTAGGTAAAATGACAAGTTTTTCCTTCTTCTTCACTTAATTTCATTTCTAATCTAAATCATTGCAAATCATCTAATTTAACAGAGAAGATATTATGTCATACGACGAAAATAAAATAGAGAAAAGATTGTGATATTTGAAACAATTTAAGTAATGCTATGATTAAAGATTTATGAAATGCTCGAATGTTTTTCACTAATTGTTGTAAAATCGAATTTGTTATTATTTTGAAAGAGATAATTGTGCATTTTTTATATTGCATTTCTATTTTTAATCGGTACATCCTTCTTTTCCATTTATTTTTCCTTGTCAAAATTTCACTCCCAGCTGTTGATGAATAAGAAATCCGATATAAATAAATAAGAAGAAAAAAGAAATTATTTACATTCTTTTAAGTAATCGTCTGAGTTACCAATGTTTACAATATAATACCTAATGGTCAATGAATTTTACAACATGATACTTAATGGTCAATGAATTTTACAACATGATACCTAATGGTCATTCATAGTTTCATTTATTTCTTTCCATAAAATCTTATTATAGCAACGATAAGAAAAAAAGCAAAGAATAAGAAGTTGACAGTAGAAAAATTGAAATTTCTGAAAAAGTTATAATTAAACATTCCATAAAAATCTTATGGATATGATTAGTGAGTGAAATTGAATAAATAATTGCTTAGTTTCTTGAATTCTATATGAATATTTAAAGAAGTAGAAATCTTTTTTGTTAATAGTTTCATTCTCTATTT